CAGGACTTCCAGCAAGCCCCAGGACAGAGGCGTCCAACACTACTCTAAACTAAACCCGCTAGCAGTTCTGGGCAGCAGGGAAGGAGTTAAGGCCCCTCCCCACCAACTCCCTGGACACAGGGGCTTATAGCCTTGGATCATGTATAATTGATAACATCAGCTTCATCTACACCCGTTCCCCCTTGCCAATAATGAGGGGACATCCCACCGGAGGCCAGAGTTCAGCATCCTAGGCTGGGTCGTTCACTGAGCATCCCTTTCAGAACATGAGGAGACAGTGTCCACCGCAGGAACCAGTAGTAAAAGACAGGTAGCCATGACTGTTCTGGGCAGTGACACCCACGCTGGTTCCCAGTAGACTACTGGGGGTCAGGTTTCTTTGTCAGAGTCTCTTGCGCTGCCGTGTGACCTTGAGATAGTCGCTCTACCTTCCTCAGCTCCGTGCCCAGCCTCGCGGTCCCCTTCACTGCGTACGTGGGAGAGGGCTGTGACAGACCCATCTGTTTTGGGGCATTAGGAAGATTGTGAGCTACTACATGAAGTACAAAGGTCTTTCAGCAAAATTTTTAATCAAAATATGTTCACTTGGGTCCGCAGAGTTCTTGCCTGGCATGCAGAGAACCCTGGGTCTCGGTCCCGTGTACCACGTAACCCACGCGAGGTGGTACACACAGGAGGCAGAGGCAGGAGAATCAGAAATTAACGTGGCTTCAGGGGTTAAAGGCGTTCATTGCTTTTGCAGAGGACCTAGGTCCCGTTCCCAGAACCCACACGGCAGCTCACAACCACCCACAACTCCCACTTCAGGGGATCTTCTGACCTCTGCGGCACCACCAGGCTCTCATGGAGTCTACAAGCATACATTAGGGCAAACACTCATACATATACGTAATGAAGCTTCAGACACAAAAGGTCTTCTTTGGCTTCATATCGCGTTTGAGGCCAGCCCGGGCTATGATAACTCTTCCTAAAAATTAATTGATATACGATCTTACATATTTATGAGTATAATGTGATATTTTCATCCATATATACAATGCTTTCCACAGTGTCATCCAGATATTTCTAATGGAATGCCCTAAACAGAAATAAGGATGGTAAGATCTCAGGGAGAAGAGAAATAAAACTGCAAATTCAACACACACACACACAACAGGGAGTCTAGAAGCCCCCACCAGTGGTGTGGCTTGGGCTAGCCCTTGGAATAAGTTCTGGATTTCTTACGCCCCTGTCCTGGGTGCTGCAGGCAAGTTTCCTGAGAACCTAGAGCGGGAGAACTTTGGAACTCATAATCTCTTTATGTGAAGACTAATTCAGTTGTCAGCACCACAGGGCTAAGAGGTGCCGGGAGAGCTCTGGGTGTGTCCTAAGGTGTTTCCAGAGCAGCCTAGCGTGAGTCAGAGGATTAGGAACGACTATGGTCTCTTCCAATCTACTGAGGGCCAGAGGTCAGCGGCGTGGAGGAAGGGCATAGCTGCTCCCTTCGGTGCTGTGGTGTCCCGGTTCTCCTGTGGCTGAGATGGGATCTGTTGGCTCTTAGGCTTTGGAGCTTAGACCAGAAGTTAGTTACATACTTGTTCTCCAGTTCTCAGGTCTTGAATGCAGACTTGATGATGTTATGTTATCGTTCCTGGCTCTCCAGTTTGCAGATGGACAGATGGGGAGATTTCTGGGCCCCTGTAATCATATGGTGCAACTTCAGTCTGCTCCTTCTTATACCCGGCTTCTTTCCTCCCTCTCCTGTATTTAACCCCTCCTCCTTCCTTTGCCTGAGCAGACCATTACATTCTACAAATGCAAGAGGCTGGTAAGGACACCCTGGTAACATAGACTACCCCTCTTCCCTTAACAAAAGTGATGATGGCGATATTCACTGTAAAGCAATTTCTCCAGGTTGGAGAACCGTATTTCTTGTGATACCATCCACTCCTTCCTGAGCCAGCACAGGTACAGGGCCTGGGAACTGATTCATATCCGCATCAGATCAGAGTTAGGGTCATAGGTCAGCAACGCCTCTCCACATGGCAAGGCAGACAAAACCAAGAGCAGACCTGTGGCCCTACCAGAAAGGTCTGCTCTTCCTGGGACTATCTAGTGGCTACTACCTCTGCTGAGGGCCTAGTGCCTTGTATCTTCTCAGGAGATGGTAATTGAATGAATGAGTGCCTATTTGCTGTTACTAGCTCAGTTCCTCCAGAATTATCTGTTACCCACTGTTGCCCAGTTAAACAGCCTTTTTTTCTACTATGGAAGAATCTTGTGAGTTTTATTTGCCATTGTAAAGGTTTTTTAAAGAACACTATTTTGATATTCCGTCTCTCTGAGCAAGTGAAGGACTGCTTTGACTCAAAGGATATGACATAAATGAAGCCACTTGACGACTCCACCCCCTCGCTCTCTTGTGCTTCCTTTTGGACCCCACCTTCTGGGACCCAGCCCCAAGCTGTGGGAAGGGTAGGACCTCTAGGTGAGACTCCTGCTGTGATCCCATAGCCACAGCCCCAACCTGGATGACTGCAGAGCCACATTCATCTCTGAGGAGGGCAGCCCTACAACAGCAGCTGAGATCTCCTCAGAGTGTTCTCCATAGATAATGAAGCAGACCTGAGCGGTATTCCCTTCTTGGGATGGGGTGGAACAATTAACTGCTCCGTTTGGAAGCAGATGGATCCAGATGTGAGAGCCACCACTGTTCCTCACGTGCAAGGTCCTTACCTTCTCTAAGCCCACAGCAGTGAAAGCATCCTACAGACTTGGTTGAAAAGTTGTTGGCTTTCCTTTGTAGTTCTTGTTTGTTTTGGGTTTTTCAAGACAAGGTTTCTCTGTGTAATAACTCTGGCTGTCCTGAAATTCGCTTCTAGACCAGGCTGGCCTTAAACTCACAGAGATCCTCCTGCCTCTACCTCTTGAGTTCTGGGATTAAAGGTGTGTGCCACCACCGCCTGGCTTTTTTTTTTTTTTTTAACATTTTTATTCTTTTTCCTTTGGGGGCCCACCACCCAGCTTCCAAATAAATCACACAGAGGCAGAGGCCTATTCTTACTTATAAATGCCTGACCTTAACTTGGCTTGTTTCTAGCTAGCTCTTATTAACTTAAATTATCCCTTCTACCTTTTGCGTGTGGACTTTTCTCTTTCTCTGTTCTATATACCTTCTTCATTCCATGGCTTGCTGCTTACCTGGGTGGTTGGCCCCTAATATTCTTGCTCTTGATCCTCCTCCCAGATTTCTCCTCCTATTTAACCTCTCTGCCTGTCAGCCCACCTATCCTTTCTCCTGCCTTGCTATTGGCCATTCAGCTCTTTATTAGACCAATCAAGTGTTTTAGACAGGCAAAGTAACACAGCTTCACAGAGTTAAACAAATGCAACATAAAAGAATGCAGCACAACTTTGCATCATTAAACAAATGTTCTGCATCATAAACAAATGTGGTTCATCTTTAACTAATTCTCTACAGCAGACAGCATAGATGGCAAGGACTGGTGTGTGAGTACATTCCACTCCTGTGGGTTGTGCAAAGCCAGTGGCGCAGAGTTCTTTCAGAGGTTTGGAGAATCCAAACCTTGGACTTGCTAGGAAGCCCTTGGTTCCCCCCGGTAGGAAGTTTGTACTTTTTTTTCTTAGCAGAGACTCAGAGTAGGATAGTAGTTGAGGTCACAGGAATCAGAGACATCTAGGTGCCAGTTAAAGTCCCAGCCTCCAATCCCCACCTGATAATCTTTCTCCTGAAGTCAAATAAGCAGGTTTAGGTCTCCTCGTGCAAGCGAGAAGCTTAAATCTCAGCACTAACAAAGCAGGGTTCAGTTCCCAACAGGAGTCTATAGAAGGTGGCCTTTTATGTGGCCCTAGGGTCCTCCAGGACCACTGGCTGGACCCTTCACACCGACCACCACGATTGGAGAATGAAGTACTGAGAGTTTTGTCTGAAAGTGATGGATGTTCTCTCTAGCTCACTGGGCAGAAGCCAGTCACATGGTTACACCTGACTGCAAGAGTGCCTGGGAAGCATGGTGCAGCTGGACGCTCGGAGGATGGAGACGAGGCGTGGCAGTCTGCAGTGTGTTATCAGAAGACAAAGCACATCTTAGACCCATGCCAAGAGGCTTCTGGGAGAGTTCAATAAGACAGTACATTCAGGGCCGGGCTGTGCTGGTCCACACTGTAATCCTAATACATGGGAGGCAGGCAGATCTCTGTGAGTTCGAGGCCAGTCTGGTTTACAGAGCAAGTTCCAGGACAGCCAAGGCTACACTGAGAAACCCTATCTCGAAAACCAGAACAAAAACAAAACAAAACAAGACAGTACATTCAGCCCGTAGATCCTGCCCAGGGATCTGGGCCCCCAACAGCTCCTCTGGTCATTGTGGCCATATGTGTCACAACAGTTCTCTACCTACTGTAGAGGCCAACAGAGTATGCCAGCACAGTGTGAGGGACAGTTTCTTGAGCTAGGATCCCGCCCCCGGCCCCCATCGCCCCCCCCCCCAAAAAAAACAAACCAAACAAAACAACAACAACAACCCTCAGACACTGAGTGGGGTCCCACAGGGGATGAAAACAAACCAGTGAGCCAGATAAGGTGAAACATGCTGATAACCCCGGCCGCCAAAGAGGCTGAGGATTGCTGAGTTTGAGGCCTGCCTGTTCTAAGAAGTAGTTCCAGGCCAACCAGGGATATGTAGTGAGATTCTTACTCAGAAACCAAACGAAAGACTGGGGATGTAGCTCAGTGGGCAGTGTGTGCTTGCCTAGGCCTGCACCAAAGCCCTGGGTCAGGCCCCCAGCTCTGGCCTAGATGGGGCCAGAGGGGCAGAAGTCAAGAATGTTCTCAATCGTCTACGACAAGCCTGGGATACACGAGTCTCTCAAAAACAGAGAGAGAGAGAGAGAGAGAGAGAGAGAGAGAGAGAGAGAGAGAGAGAGAGAGAGAGAGAGGTCTTTGTTCACCCCTAGCTGGATTCTCCCACTGGGAGTGGACTAGGTTCCAGTGCTCCCACTGCAGGTAAAATGTGATTAGCAGCCAGAAGCAGCTTTTACTTTGAAGACCAGGGAAGCCATTTGGAGAACGTGACACCTGGCTTCACTGTGAAGCTTCCAAAAGGTGAGGCCGGGGAAAAGGGGAAGGGACAGCCTGAGAGGGCAGGGCGGGGACAGATGGGAAGGACAAATGGCTCACCTGGAGCACTGAACAAATTGGGAAACCCAACAGGAACCAGCAAGGGAGACTGAGCGCGATGAGCAAGGCTGGGTTCGTTCTGTGTGTACTGGGAGTCAGCACTGGCTTAGGGGCAGCATGACTGGATACTGGACAAACTTCCTGATGGCTGTCATTTCATCCTCACCACAGTCTGCAGAGCTGGGGGAGACAGCGTCGGATGGCAGAGGTAAGCGGGGAACTGCTCACAGACGGCTGCCTGTCTCTGTGCCACAGCCTAGATAATTCCCTCTGCAAACCCGCGAGAAGAGTTCGAAGCTCTTTAGGGCCTCTTCAGAGTTAGCTAGCTCTTCTTCAGCTAGCATCTCCTCGCCACCAGGGGCAAACAACACAGGTGTGGCTTTTCTTTTCTTTTTCTTTAAGGTAGAGCCTCACTCTGTTACTCGGGCTACTTTGGAGCTCTTATGTAACACAGGTTGGCTTCCAACTCGTGGTAATTCTCCTGCCTCGGGAATACAGGTGCAGCGAAGGCATCTATGTTATAGGTGGGTTGTCCTCGGGGCTGCTTATGACCTTTATGATAACTTTGCAGACACGTGTGCACCCTCAAGCGCACATATGAGGATAGCGTGGGCTCCTCAGTCAACCGAAACAGACACGTTAATTGAGATTATGTATTGCCGTAGCCCAATAGCTCGCCGTTCCCAACAGCATCCAGAAGAACATGAATTCCGCCACCTGAAGCACTGAGCTGCTACCTTCCTCTGGAAATCAAAAGGCAAATTGCCTTGCTTTTATTAATCCTCTCTTTCCTTACAAGATCCCACCTTTTGTTTTTCTGCACCTTACAAGGGAGAGGTGTGTTTTTATGCCTTGTGTGGAGCTGGCAGGAAAGGGAACCCTTTGATTTTTTAAGTAAGGAGGCAAGTCCTGTGTATGCAGAGGAGGCTGTAGTAGGCTGGGGACAGTACCTTTAGGTTCAAGTCTTCCCTGAGCGCTGGATCGGAAGGATTGGACTGAAACTTTAAACATTTTGAGCAATACCTAGAATATGTATAATTTATAAGCCACACACCGTTGGCTGTCAAATCAGCGATTGATCTGACTCGGGTCTTGTTAATTATCTTCCACATACATTACTCCTTAACAGATCTTCAGTATACTGCGTATCAATATTAATAAGATTATAAAATACTATTGATAATTAGGAACAGAAAGGGCCCCAGCCTTTGATTCTGGCTGTTACAAATGCCCCCACTCTCCCCAGATTAGAAAGCAGCCACTTTCATTTAGTAATATCAGATCAGAACGTCTGTGTCCTAAAGTGGGTTATTACGAGACAGCTAAGACTCTCACCACGCACAAGGGGCTGCTTGAACATGGCAGTGCTCCTGATGGGGAGAGACCTGCCTCTCTTGTCCACAGGAGGCCTAATGGGGTGGGTGAGGCTCAAGGGGGAGCCGAGCTCACTTTGATCAGCCAAATTCTTCATTTTCTTTGTCCAGACTAATCAGTGTGGTTTGGTTTTGCGGGATATTCACCAGACTGGCATTTTATCTCGATTCCTTCCATTGGATGAAAGGGGCCCCGTTGGGAAGCCAGGGAAAGGGGGCTGGTGAGCTTCAAGGCAGATCTCGAGCCCATCCCATCTCGATGGCACTTTATTTTCTATTTTCCCTCTTCGCAAGAGCCTCCTCTTTTATGTTTTTGTTGGGTTCACAAACTCATTAACATCAAACAGGCAGATCTGCCACTAACTAGGAGAACGCAAGCGATTTCACATATAAATAGACCATGTAGAAGCCCGGGTGCTAGGGCCAGGCTGCTTCCCTGAGGTTTCACCTGGCTGAGGGAGCAGAAGGGAGGCTCTGGGACCTCCTGGGACCAGACGTCCCCCCATGAGAGTAGAAATTAGTGGCTGGATGTGTATGCACAGGAGGTGAGGAGACCACAGACTGCCCCATTTGTGCAGAGTCTTTCTATTAACCCAAACTGTTTAACAAGCTCGGTTCTTGTAGTGAACAGTCCAGGAGATAGCCTGACTGCCAAGTGAGGAAGACACAGCCCAGGTATTCCCACCTCCCGGTTTCCTCTTCTCTCAGGCTGACTCTCCAGATAGCTAGATGGCTGCCGTGGTGCCCATCAGTGGGAAAAGCAGGTGCAGCGTCTCCTTGAGAAGGTTCTGAGCTGGCCATCTTGCCTCTTTGGTCCTGAGTTTATTACCCACCTCTGGACTAGGTGGTAGCTGAGCTGGTCAGTAGGCACCCCCACTCAGGAAAGGGGTCAAGCCAGCTCCCTTATGCCCATTCCATCAGGCCCAGTTCTCCGTTGCCATAGTGAGGGGTAGGGACATCTCTCCCCAGTGCTGGGAGCCTGGTCTCCCATGAGAGTCAGGGCCAGCTCTCTTGCTGCTGCTGACCCAGTGAGGGTCAGAACCAGCTTTCCCAGCACCAGTGAAGGGCAGGGCCAGCTCAGCATGGCCCTCGGCCCACTGAGGTGACACAGGTCACAGACATCAACACAAACTCTAGCTGCAGCAGGACCATGGACCCAGACCTGGTCCTCAGCAGCAGCTTGTGCCAGGACAACATCTTAGCTCCGGGTGGAAACACAGGTCAGGAAGACTCCAATGGCAGCAGGACCCTCAAACACCAACAAGGCTGCAGGTTGCGGCCCTGCCCCTGGGAATCCATGTAACCTCTGGTGGCAACACAGACCCACAGATCCAGACGTGGTTCTTGGCAGTAGCTGGGGCTGGAATGTCACCATAGCCCCAGGTAGCAGTGCAGGTCACTCATCAGCACATCCTCTGAGGCGGTGTGGCCCTCAGACACCAACATGGTGCCAGATTCTGGACATCCACGTAGTCTTCGATGGCAACAGGAACCTTGGACATCAACACAGACCCCTGCAGTAGTAGGGTCACGTGCCCAGACTTGGGCTTCAGCTGCAGTTCTGCCCCGGACATCACCATGGCATCAGGTAGCAGCACAGGACACTCAGATCTGCATAGCTCTGGCTGCAGCATGCCCCTTGGTGGCACGGTGGGCCATGGATTTTAACACAGACCTGGGCTACAGCAGCACCACCGACCCAGACATGGTCCTCGGTAGCAACCTGGTCTGGGTGTCACCGTGGTCCCAGGTGTCTGCATAGACCACCCAGACTGGCACAACCCCAGTTGTAGCACGGCCCTCAGACAACAACACAGACGCAGGTGGCAGCCCAGACCCCAAGAATCCTCATGGCCCTCGTGGTAACGGGGCCCTCAGGCATCAGCCCAGACCCTGACTGTAGTAGGGCTACAGACCTGGGGTCTGCCTTAAAGTGGCTCCTCCCTCCATATATAAAAACATAAGGCATTTGGTACTTGATTATCACAGCCATGTCCTCTGTTAACTACAGCTGGACACCTTGCTTGATTGGCTTTCACAGAGAGCTAGTGTGTATTTCTGAATGTTCTGTATATAAGCGAATTTGTCCACTTGCTACGTTTTGCTGGTTTTGTCTGAAACAGTGTCTTGTTTTGCAGTCCAGTTTGGCCTGGGACCCATGATGAGTCTAGCTCAGCCTCCTGCCTGCTAAGGCTTCAAGGGAGGACCACCACCGCTGGTTTCAGAGAGGGTGCAAGTTGATCTTTTAAAAAGCAAACCCAGGGGGCTGGAGAGATGGCTCGGAGGTTAAGAGCACTGACTGCTCTTCCAGAGGTCCTGAGTTCAATTCTCAGCAACCACATGGTGGCTCACAACCATCTGTAATGAGATCTGGTGCCCTCTTCTGGCCTGCAGGCATACATGGAGG